TGATAGTGGGTTTGGGCTCTACTGATGTATTTGTTCTCAGCAGAATACCAGCAGCAGTAGAACCAGGAGCCTGATGTGCAGTGGTCTCGTGTGGTGGTTTTTCAGCCACACAGTGAGATGGCCAAGTGAACATGCTGACCTCTGGGTGGGAGAGAGGAGAGCCTTACTGCCAGCCTGGGGCACCTCTGGGCACTTCTCGGTGGAGCCAGAGAGCTTTACGACACTGACAGGAGCAAGGCAGAGGCCAGACAATGAGGCTGAGGGCCAGAGAGAGGTCTGCTTATTCTCTGGAGAGGCTTCTGATCAAAGAACTGTGTCCTGAGTCATCCTTGGCCCAGAATTGTAGTCTGTTACTTCCTTAAAGGGAACTCTGATGGCTCAGTGGTAAGAAACTCTGCTACATTTCCAACAGCATGTGGTTTGAATCTACGTTGGCGATGTCCATGTCTGACCTTTACCAACTTCAACATCATTAACAACACAAAATCCATTCCCATGAGGTCAGCCGTGTCTCTCATGCTCCTGTACCTCTTTCTACTTGTCTCGGCACCAGTCTTATTAGCTTTACCGGGTCCAAAATCCCATGCAGTATCTCACAGACACACAGAACCATGTTGGGGAAGTCAAATGCTTATAATCTAGGCCAGTAGCAGAATGTAGTCAGGACAGCTTCCAAAATGTGCTTGCAGGCACCTCAGCCTTGAGCTCACATTTTAAAATTTTATTTATTTTGTTGAGAATATATTCAGAAAAACATACCACTCAATTTATCAGAGCCTTGTCCACAGTACTGAAGAGCAATGGTGTCGCTCTAGAGACTAAGGTACACCTGTTCCACATCGTAGTCTTTGCAGTTACTTGTAGTACATCAGAGAGCTGGACAATGAGTAAGGATAATAGAAGAAAAATTGATGCCTTTGAGTTGTGGTGCTGGAGTAAGGTGTTGAATATACCATGGACTGCTAGGAGAACAAACAGGTTTGTCCTGGAAGCTGCTCTTTGGAGGCAAGGATTTTGAACCTTGTCTGACATAGTTTGGGCATGCTACAAGGAGGGACCAGTCCTTGGAGAGGGACATCATGCTTGGAAGGGTGTAGAGCAAGAGAGGAAGACCCTGGATGAGCTGGACTGACTCTTGTTAGAGACAGTGAGGTTGGCTCAAGATAAAGCAGGGTTCAGAGCTGTTGTTCAGAGGGTTGCTATGAGTCACAAGTGACTGGACAGCACACGTACTGTTTATCTCTGAGTTGTGCAGCCATTCTCACCTGCCTTTTCAGAATTGTGCTTCCAGCACAAAGGTCCATTGTTCAAAGCCATGGGACAAAGATGAGCAGTGAACTCCTGTGCGATTTACAGCCTCTGGAAAACCACTATAGGATCATCTGTGAGTTGGTTTCAACTCTGGTACTCAGCAACAAACAACAACATCTACATAAACTCAGTCCCTCTAGATCCGCATCTGATTTTTCAAGTTGCTGTTGTCAGTTTGAACCCACGTAAGTAATTCTTGAACATAATGTCCAAGGCAGGCTCATTTGTTAAGCTAAGTTATTGTTTGGTTTCAGCAGACTTTATAGGGGATGCTTTCAGCTTTCTGTGTTTGTCACTAAAGAGATCTAGATTGGATGGTTCATTCCTGCCACCATCCTCCCAGGATCCAGTTATAGGCCACATTCTGTTTGTCCACTCACCTGTTGACAGGTACTTGGGTTGTCCCTGCTTGGTGGTGTAACTGGGCAGTGGACACTGGTGTGTGCTTTGTGTTTGATGGAGGCAATTTCCTCCCTCCTCTGGGGTTAGAGTGCCTGGGTGGCGGCAGCCGCTGTCAGCCACAGCAGGCCCCCTCACTGGCAGCTCTCAGAATGTGGGAGATGAAAGGCAGACCAGCTCCCAGGCTTTCCCAGGGCATCCTCACCCACGGGGATGCAGCACGTGGCACAGAGAGGGCAGCCCACAGAGCTTGGGATCACATTCAGGTCATCGGCACTCAGACGGACCGGAAGGACCTCTAGCACATGGAACGTAGAGTTCAGGGGTTTGGCCAGGCGCCCAGGGAAAGGGCACTGGCCTGAAATGGTGACGGGCGCCTGGCTGTCAGGCCGAGGTCCTGCCTCATTCCTGATCAGAGGGAGCAGCTGGTTTCCGGGGTCCTGACTTGATTGGGTTTGTTTCTCCCACAAGAAACCCAAGTGGTGGCTTATACCCTTAGCAGTCCTCTAGGCTTGAAGACATTGTAAGGTCAATTTATAAATGAAGGTTAACAAGAAATGAACCAGCAGATTACAAGGCTGACACCCTAGCTCCTTGAGCTCTAAACACTGCAGAACTGATAGTTCAAATGCAGACCATTTATCGAGCACCTGTTAGGTGTCAGGCCCTGTGGCAGGTACCGAAGGGGAAAGGCAAGCTCAAGTTCACTCCTTGGCTGTGACTTGAGAAAGTCATCTCACTCCTGTGATCTTGGTTTCTTAAGCTGTAGGGTGGGGGGGTCATTTCTTCATTCATTCATTGCTGTCCACAGGCGCTGACTGGGCTCGCCTTACAGCTTGGGCCCTGGGGGTGACTAAGGGCCATTACCAGTCTCTGTCATGCTAGTAAGCTTGGCCTCGTGTGTTTGTTTGTGTGTGTGTGATTGTGAGTTTCATTCCACAGTCTGCTCCCACTCTACCCAGTAGTTCATACTGTGATTCCTCAGAGACATTGACCTTGATAGTCATACACCATCTAGTTCCTTCTGGTCTTACAGTCCATGATCTTTTCTTTACACACTTAACATCTCCATCTCTACCTTGACCTCGACCTTGATGTTGCCCTCAGTCATGACTTCCATCGTGATTAAAAGGAAAAGACAGGCATGGGCTACCTGTGGGTGGTGGTGGTTGTTGATAGGTGCTGTTGAGTCGAGTACAACTCAGCAACCCTATGAACAAAGGATCTAAACCCTGTTCTATCCTGCACCATCCTCACACTTCCTGTCTCTGGGTATTGATCTTAAATTACGGACATTTTCAAGATTTTATCGGCTCTTCAATTTTATAGAATTTTTACAAAAAGAAATTTATAAAAAAAAAAAAAGAAAGAAATTTGTAATTTTATTTTCACAAAGAAATACATTCATTTAGTCTCTGTGCTGCTGTCGATTGACAGATGGCCCTCTTCTCATGCAGCCTCAGCCGCATCCCAGGGACACGATGGTGAAGGTCAGAGAAGACTGATTTGGGCTTGTTGGACACTTGGTCACCAGGGCTGCTTTTAAAACAGCAAAGTGCATGTTGTTGCCATCAATGACTCCTTCACTGACCTCAGCTACAAGGTCTATATGTTCAGTATGATTCCACCCATGGCGAGTTCAATGGCACTGTCAAGGCTAAGAATGGGAAGCTGCTCATCAATGGGAAAGCCATCACCAGCTTCCAGGAGCGAGATCCTGCCAACATCAGGTGGGGTGATTCTGGTGCTGAGTATGTTGTGGAGTCGCCTGGTGTCATCACAGCCTTGCCAAACGGGTAATCATCTGCTGCTTCTGCCGATGCCCCCATGTTTGTGATGGGCATGAACCATGAAGTATGAGATCTACTGATAATGCTCTCAAGATGGTCAGCAGCGCTTCCTGCACCACCAACTGCATGGCCCCCCCCCGGCCAAGGTCATCCATGACAACTTTGGCATCATAGAAGAACTCATGACCACAGTCCATGTCATCACTGCCCCTTGAAGACCATGGATCACCCCTCTGGAAAGCTGTGGTGTGATGGCTGTGGAGCTGCCCAGAACATCATCCCTGCATCTACTGGTGCTGCCCAAGGCTGTGGCCACGGTCATCCCTGAGCTGAATGGGAAGCTTACTGAATTGGCTTTCCACGTCCCCCACCCCCCCGGTGCAGTGGCTAAAGCACTCACTCAGCAATCCCACTAGCTGATGAGTGGGAGGCAGAGGAGGTCTCATCAGCTTCTGTAACGACGGCAGCCTTAGTCCTCTGTGGGGAATTCTCCCGAGTCAGAATAGGCTCAAGGGCAGTGGGTTTGTGTGATGTTTAACCATGAGGACACGAGGAGTTGATGGCATCAGCCTTCCCATCTGGGGGATGACGTGGGCAATAGGTGAAAGCTGTGGTCAGGGAGTGAAGAGAGGAACCCATTGAACGGACACTGTCCACTGACTTCCCACAGGAAACAGAAACGGGCTTTCGTTACCATGCCCATTTCGCAGATGAAACAACTGAGGACCAGCAAGGAGGCTAGACTTCCCAGGGTCACGCAGGCTTGGAGCCCTCCCCCTGCATCTGGTGGGTTACCATAGTAGTTTGGTGGGGCTGGGTTTGATTCCCCAACTCTGCCACCTGCCACGAGGCCGCAGGCAAATACTCCATGTCTGTGCACCTCTGTTTCTTTATCTGTAAAATGTGGCTCAGCTTGGCGCCTGTTTTGAGTGAGGAACGTGTGGGGTGTAGTTGGTGGAACCCTGGACACACGAGACACATAAAGAGCTCTGAATATATGCGAGGCAGAGCCTGAACCGTGCCCCACGTGGGTTCCGCTTAGACCTCACCGGAGATGCAGGGTACATCACATTCATAGGCCCGATTGATGGAACAGGAGCCCCAGCACAGGACCAGCAGCTCCCCACGGCCACGCTCAGACCCTCTGCTCAGCAGCATGGCTCAAGGGGCCTCCTGGGGCAGACCTCAATGCAGCTCAGTCCCTGGAAGAGGTGGCGTGGGGAGTCCCTCCCCAGCCCACCCTGGGGGCGTCCCCTCAGTGCCCACTGCACATACTTCTGAGGAGCCGCCCAGCCTTCCAGGAAGTGAGTGCTCTGGCCACATCTCCAGGCAGGCCCGCACCCCCTCCTCCTGCCTCCCAATCTCCAGGGCAGGGCTAAAAATAGTCACAGGGTGGAGGGGGGGCATCTGTCCCTCAGAGGCCAGGCTGCGTGCAGGGCAGGAGTCTGCAAGTCCAGCGCTCCTCTCTGTCTGCTCGCTCTACTCCTTGGAAACCTCGGGATGACCATCCAGCCTCTGTGCTTCCTGCTGCTGCTCCTGGGAGCCAGCGCTGCCGGGAGCCTCTGGAAACGGTCCCTGCCGGCCAGGCTGTCCGAGAAGTCCCACGTGAGTGCCAGTGCCGCTGAGGAGAGGCCACCTTGCGGGACACAGAGTCCTCACAGACTGACCCTTCCGGACCCACGACCCACGGGGCTCTGCGTCTCAGGGATGGCGGTGGGGGTGGCCAGGGCTCTGCTGCAGAACTCCTGCCTGTGGGTGGAGGAGCGGACACATGCAGGCACAGCTGGCGGGCAGAGCTGGCGCCCCTCCGGGAAGAGCACAGTGAGAGCTGAGGATGTGAGGCTGAGCGTCACCGTGTGTATGTGGAGTGTTTCTGCACTTGTGCGGCTCAGGAGTTTGGAAAGCATTAGTAGAGGCTACTCAGGTCGGTGCAGGATACAGGAGTATAGGACAGAGGGAATGGCAGTCCCTCGAGCCCTTGAGAATCTCATGGTGGATCTGGGGATGGCTGGGTGGAGAACAGAGGAGGGAGGCTGGATTTAGAGCCCTGAGGGGGTTCAGCAGAAGCCTGACCCCTCTGCACACCTGTTTCCAAGCGCGTTAGGACAAGTTTAGTCGTGTCTTTAAACATACACTATGTTCAGATATCCACTATGTGCCGGGACTGTCACAGGTCATAGACTCAGCATCCCTGCCGTGGGAGCCCGTGCTGACCATTAGTATATGCATGTCAGAACCTCTAACCGTTTACATCTAGTCAGTGGACACACAGCATCCCTGCCGTGGGAGCCCGTGCTGACCATTAGTATATGCATGTCAGAACCTCTAACCATTTACATCTAGTCGGTGGACACACAGCATCCCTGCTGTGGGAGCCCGTGCAGCCCGTTAGTGTATGCATGTCAGAACCCCTAAACATTTACATCTAGTAAGTAGCCTTAGTCAGTAGGCAGTTGTGCACGCAATCAAAGCCTAGCTGTTCAAACCCACCAGCTGCTCCGAGGGAAAAAGAAGGGCATTCTCCTCCCATGTGATTAGAGCCCCTGAAAATCCACTGGAGGGTCAGCTGTGGGTCTGTTCCACCTGGATGACAGTGAGTTTTCTTTTGGGGGAGCATGAAAGAGAAAACAGTGGACTCAGAGTGTTGCATTTTAGAGCCCTCTCCACGCAGATGTGGCGAGTGAGCCGGGAGACTCTCTGGGTCTAGAAGGTCAGCAGGTGACACCCTACTCTAAGCACAGAAGCGAGGGTTAAAGGACTTAGTACCTGGGAGGGGAGGGAGCCCTGCTGATACCATGGGTTAAGCACCAGCCTTCAAACCAAAAAGGTTGGTGGTTTGAACTCATCAGCTGCTTGAGGGGAGAAAGCTGAGAGTCTCTTCATAGCCTTGGAGACCCAGAGGGGTAGTTTTACTCTGTCCTGCAGGGTCACAGTGAGTCAGAATCAGCCCGTGAGCTTTGGGGTTCTGGGGCACCCACAGAGCTCATCACACACACCATGTTGTCCTGGAACTTGACATCAGCAGTTGTGGAGTCATCAGGGCTGGGCGCTCTGGGGTGTGGGGGATGGCTTCGCTCCCTGGGGCACGTTCTGTCTTGTTTAGTGAGGTGTCCTCAGTGTCTCAGAAGACACCTGTCACTGTCCTTGTCAAGTGCACTCTTGTGGGTGAATGGTGGCAAAACGCAGCTGGAACCCAGAGAAAATCTGTGCAATTCTCCCCTGGGAGCCAGGGAGCACTTTCTGAGAGTTGGGACATTTAACTTGGGGTTTGAGGGCTGAATAGGAGTTTGTCAGGTGGAGAAGTGGAAAGGGTATTAAAGCTGATCTCTGCCTGCAGTGTTGCTAGGTGCTTGTGGGGAACAGCAGCAGGCTTTGTGGGATCAGAAAAGAGGCCTGGAGATTGACACGTGGCAGGTGAGATGGTACAGTCAGTCATAGAATGCTTCCTGGAGGAAGTGGAGACCATAACAACATTTCAAAGGTGTAAGAGTTGGGAGGAGGAGGAGGGCATTTCTGGAAGAAGGCTCATTACGAGCTTGGCCGAGACTGAAAAGAAACTGCATCTTGCTAGAGAGGGGAGACCCTTTCATTTTTATATCCTCCTCCATGCTCGGTGCTGGCCCAGCTGAAGAGACCAACCCAGCCTCTGCATCCCGTCAGTTCTGACTGGCCAGCCTGCGGGACAGAGGAGAACTGCTCCACTAGCGTTTCCCAGGCGGAGAGTCTTACAGAAGCAGACCGCCTCGCCTGTCTCCTGCAAGTCCACTGGTGGGTTTGAACTGCCAACCTCTAGGTTTGTAGTCCACCATGCCACAAAGCTTCTTGTTGGCCTAACAGGGTCATTTAATCCTCATACTTCTTTAGCTCTTTGCCCCTACGACTACAAAGATATTTCCCAGACACATCTAATCTTATCTACTATGAGTCAGAGGGTTGAAATTGGGGATTCTTTAACATCAGTGACCAGGGAGGGTGGAAGGGCAGGGAGGATGCGGGGGGGTGAGCATGGTGAGGGGCTTCTTTAAGAACACAGGCGTGGATGGGCTTCTATAGTTGTTCTCCTTGTCACCCCCTCAGGATGCTAATGTGAACACAGCACCCCTCCAGGGACAGGACAGACAGACAATTGACTGGCTCAGAGGACAGGGTGGCTGGGCTGTGTGCCTGGATAGGGGATTCACAGAAGCCACATCTCTTGAGTACTGTGTGATCTTGGGTCACTCACTGCCCCTCTCTGGGCCTCGGGTCTCTAGCAGAGGAGTGAAGTGCGTACCACAGGACTGTAGGCCCTTTGAGTTCTGCTCTGTACTCCTGTTCGTGTGCCCCCGAGGAACTCAGTGCTAGGAGGCAGCCCCACATGTGCTCAGGTGTGTCACTCCCCTCCCAGAGCTGAGCCCTCTTGAGCCCTGGGCTAGGACCCCGTGCTACCATGCTGTGGCCTAAAATCAGTCACAACTCAGGCATCCGAAGATGCTCTTCTGGGAAAGCAGGTGGTGAGACATCTAGCAGCCTGTTGCTCTGGTGAGAGGAGGTGGTGAGTTCAGACAGCCCTGTCCTTTTGAGACGCCTGGTTCCCCATTGCCTCACCCACCTTCTCAGAGCCTGGTCTCTGCTGAATGACTCAGCTCGGGGGACTGGCTTCACAGCTGCAGTGGGGCTCTGTTAGTTTCTAGAATGGTGTCTATCTTCATGGTCCACGGACAGTGGCTGGAGAGTGCACTACTTTCTGTTCCAACAGGGAGCCTCTGCTGAGGAGGGGCCCCACGCCTCCTGCCTCCCAGCTCTGAGATCACATGTGAGTCCCATCGCCTCTCTGAGCCCCGATTTCCTCACCAGAAGCATGGATGTCTCTCATCAGCACGGAGGTGCCTGCTTCACAGAGGAGTGGGTGTCCTCCCATCAGCGTGCTTTGTAGAGTCCTCATGCTTGAAGCATTTAGCCCTTGGCCTGGTCTAGTGCTATATTCTCCTGTGTGTGCTGTTTAAAAGGAGTGAACGTTGCAGCAGATGCTTGTGAATAATCCAGGGGCCTTCGGGGAGCAGCGGATGCTTGTGAATAATCCAGGGGCCCGCGGGGAGCTGGGAGCCTCATCCAGGGAGCAGATGGACACTTGGCTCGTCCTCTGGGCCGCACATGGAGTCCACAGGACCAGGATTCACTGGCTCCATCAGTGCTTTGGAGATCTGGTGGCTCCTCTCCCACTGCGGTCCCTGAGGCCACTGTGCCCTCAGCTTCCTCCCAGGATAGCTGGGAAATGGGGTACAGTGTGTGCTTCACTTTCCAGCCCTGGACTAGATTGAGGGCCCTCCCTTCTCTCCCTTCTCGAAGGGCAGCCAGGAGCCCCTCCAAGCTGTGCCCGTTTCCCTGCCTGCTTCTCTGTCCCTCATTACTTCTTCAGGCTCTTGAGACTCCAGTACCGACAGCTCTTTGGTTTTTGTTGCCTGAAGACAGCAGAACCGAGAAGAAGCCCTGGTGGCACGGTGGTTAAGTGCTGGGCTATTAACAAAAGGTCAGCTTTTTGAACTCATTAGTCATTAGCTGGCCCACTGAGGAGAATGCAGCATCCTGCTCCCTCAGTTACTAACCCCAAGGTCGGCAGTTCAGACTTCCACCTGAGGCTCAGCACGGAGCCTGGCACACCCCAGGCAGTGGGTCACAGCGTGCAGGACCTGCGACAGGAGCAGGGGCCCGGAGGAAGGAAAGCACTTCAGGAACACGGCTTCCCTTTCTCCTTGAAGGGCTCCAAAGCTCCCAGCATGAACTTCTGGGGGAAAGGAAACGAGTCGGGGAGGAAACCCCCGGGCCCTCTGAGTTTCCAGTCTGGGAATGAGAAGCCGCACACGGGACTCCAGGGCCATGCCAGGAGTGAGGTGCAGCCGTGTCCCCAGCGCCTCGTCCCGGACTGTCCACTCCTCTCCCCAGAGCCTTGCCTTGGACGCCGGTTCTGATGCTCAACTCTCCACCTTGGCACTCCGCTCACTGTTACCGTCGCTCGATCTGTTCCTGGTTGTGACTTCCTTTGGTTTTCCAGTAATGAGTTTTGCAGCTGACAAAGCCAGGCACTTAGTTTGCTTTACTTGGTGACATCTGTGTGAAAACCTGCTCCAGCAGGGTGAAGGGGCTGAGCTGCTCCTTAAAGACTTCTTGGGGCCTAGATGCACAGTGGTTAGCTCGCTCAGCTGCCTGCAGAGGTCAGGCCCACCAGCCCCTCTTCAGGAGGAGAGGTGCCCTCTGCTCCTGGAAAGGTTCCTGCCTCAGAAATCACACGGGGCACTTTCCTCTGACCCACAGAGTCCTCGGGAATGGGAGTCAGCTCAGCCGCAGTGGGTTTGGGCTTTGGGCTTTTAGGAGACCTTCAGGATCCCCAGGTGATGCACATGGTTTGCCTTCAGTTACTAACTCCAAAGGTCAGCAGTTCAAGTGCCCCAGCCGTGTGGCAGAGGAACGGCCAGGCAACCCAGCCAGGAGAAACCCTGGGGGGCTGCTCTGTTCTCTGACACCCACACTGCCTCAGAATGGGCTCGCGCCGATGGGGCTGCTGCAGGTTCATTCCCTAAGAGCTCGGTGTACATCAGTCCTGGGGAGCAGGTGACCAGTGCCGGAGA